GAGGGGGGATGGTGGGGGGTGGGGGTGGCCAGAGAGTCTGTGAGGAGGAAGGGATGGATCAGATTTATCCCTGAGGAGGGGGTCTGGGCTGTGCTGCACTATAGTGGTGAGTACGAGGCTCTCACTGCCCCTGATCCCACCCCTCTGTCCCTGCAGCGGGTGCCCAGCAGGGTCGGGGTCTATCTGGACTGCACATTGGGGCAGGTGTGGTTTCTTGATGCTGACACCGGGGCCCCGATCTTCACCTTCCCGCCAGCCTTGTTCACGGGGGACAGGATCCGGCCCTGGTTCTGTGTGCGGTTTGGTGAAATCAAGCTCTGACGCTGCCAGTGAGAGGAAAAGGAAACATGCAAGATAGAACCTGTTAGTTGCCCCTCCAGCCTCTGTCGTGCTGATGTCTGTGACCCTGGAGGACTCCTCTCCCTGCAGACAATCAGCTGTGCCATGTCCGTGACCCTGGACGCACAGGTTGGGTTTCTTCATCCTCCGACCATAGAGAGCAGGACGTGGCTGAGCTGGACAGTCCGTCTCTGGCCCGTGGGTCATTTCCTGCATGACCAAGGGGCCTCGGGGGCCTGTGGGGTCTGGCACTGATGGGTGCAGCTGTGGGGGGTCGGGTGAGGGGCGGCAAAGAGGAGGCACCAAAACCCAGGGCGGTTGGGTTGGAAAATGCAGTTGTACCTGGCCCTGGTGTTCATTGCAGCGCTCCTTGTTCAGAGCCCCCGGTCCTGAGAAGTGGAGATGCTGCCGCTGCTTAAAAAGTGATTTGTGTATTTTTTTGGCCCTTTTCCCTCATTCTAATTATTGAAAAATCACCCCCCAACTAATTCATTTTCCTCAAGATTGCAGTCAATAAACCTGTTGCTGATACATATCAAAGTATCTTCTGCTTGGTGATTGATTGATTTATTTCACATCTCATTTCCTTGTCACAAATGCTGTGGAGCGAGCAGATTTCTTTAAGAGATTTAATTCCTCATAAACAAAACCGATTGCCTTCCCTGAAAGTTGGCATGTCAGTCTGGTGGGACTGTAGCATCACTGCTTGTGTTGCCTGTGAGCTACACACATAAAACTAACGTGTCTGGAGGTGAGTTAAGAGTCCAATCCTTGAGCGATTTGCAGCAGTTACAGGTCTTTCCTCAGGTGAAAGTAGGCTGTGGGCAGTGATTCCTCTGCTTGTTTTTTCTCTGTCCTCTCTCCTATGCTTTCTGGGCAGTATGCTTCACCTTGCAGTGGACGGCCATTGGCTAAGCCTGAGTCATCACTGCAGACAGCTGGTAGCCAGTACTTTCTAGCTCTTCAAGTCAGCATCCGTTTTCTAGATGTATGCCTTCAATATGCCCTTGCAGCATTTCCTCTGGCCACTGTGAGATCTCAGGCCAAGCCTAGACATGGGAGTTAAGCAGTTGTTTTGGGAGTCAAGTCAGGCATCCCCACACAATGTCTGGTCTAGCGAAGTTAGTGCTTGAGGATCACTTCAGCCAGGATGCTGGTGTTTGTGTGACAATCTTCCCATTTCATGTGGAGTGGAGGATCCTCCCAGGACATAGGTAGTGATACCTGTACAGACTGTCAAGATGACCATGGTAGGTCACCCGTGTTTCATAGTTGGTAGGGTCGGGGTTGCAGGGGGAGCAGTCAGGAAGGCCGAGGCGGAGATGGGACTGGGACTAGCTTCCCGGATCAAGGACAATAAGAAGTCCTTTTTTAAATAGGTAGGGGGCAAAAAGAAGGTTCCAGGTAATGTGGGGCCCCTGCAGGACACGTTAGGAAATTTGGTCATCACACCAGACAACAAAGCCAACATATTTAACGATTTCTTTGCCTCCATTTTCCTAAGCAGAGACCGGAACAGTCACCCCCCGC